TCTGTGTCAATAATAAAAAAAATGTTTGTTAGATTTTTATATTCAGATTAAATTAAGACCATTAAAAGAAATCTATAAATCTTGATTATTCTCATTAGCCGCTTGAAGCAGCCACATAAAAAATAAACATGTTTTATCAGATATAGTAAAGTATAAATGAATAAAAAATCATTTCTCAGGGCCAGCATAAAAAAAAGTCTGCGCTTTAATAAAGTTATAGTGAAACAAAAACCTATTTTCTTTTAATTTGTACCTAAGATAAAGCTTTGTTTTTTTGCTTTTCTATTATTTTGAGAAAATTATTTTTAATGTTTTAAAGTTAATGTATATTAAACTTTTTATAAATTTCTTTTGTCAAATTTTACATTAAAAGGTACATTAAAAATGTAAATGATTCTCTTCAGTGCATCTTTATAACAATTTTAAAGTTTGCGTACATTTTTATTTTTTTGGGGGGGGTAATACCAATGTCCTACATGGGGCCCCAAATTCCTGGCTGCGCCCCTGTATACTCATCACTCTATTAAAGTTATAGCTTAATGTCTTTTTATTTAAAAAATACTAGCATATTCCCAATATCTGTATGCGCTGCTCTTCATTTGCATGCCGTTAACTTGCCGTTAAACAGTTTTTCTCCTCCGTAGCCTCTGACCATCTTCCAGAGGTCCCTCACCACCATGCAGATCCAGATCCAGGGTCTTCTGCAGTTTGCCGTGCCCCTGTTTCCCACAGCCGAGGTGCCGTTCGTAAATACAGCTCTTTTATCACAGAACTGCTCCAATTGGAATAATTGCTGCAGCCTTTTCAACAACTTTGTCTCTCCACACAGAGGGATTTAGTGGGTATCCAGAATTTGCTGAACTCCTCGGAGGCGAGTCTGCACCAGCTGACGGCTCTGCTGGACTGCAGGGGGCTCAACAAGGTTTGTTCACCGCCGCCTAATTGGCATCGCAGTAACACAAAGTAGGTCATCTTAGACACAAGTGGACCTGAAATAAAGCAGAAATATAAAAGCATTTAAATTGATTTTTTTTTTTAAGGATATTTTGCATAATCGCGTTAAATTCGACACCCGTAACGAAGAGTTTTACTGGTTCTATGCGTTTTCACCCAGCGTCTGGCTCTGATTGCTGCTCAAACATGGCCGCCGGACTGAGGGCAACAGGGACGCTGCTCGTTGCCGGCGGATCTTCATGCTCTGTCTCTGACCTCTTTAGGATTACCTGGATGCAATGGTGGGGGTGTGCTACGACGGTGTGGAGGGTGTGCTGTATCTCTGTCTCTTCTCCATCCTGGCTGCCTGTGCCTTTACTGTCATGCTGTGTGCCATTCCCAGAGCTCTGAGACAAATCGCCAGCAGGTCAGTTTGTTCTCATGCTCACCTCCCTGCCCCCCCCCCTGAGTGTGCCCCGTTTGCACAAGAAGCACTATTCCACATCTGTATCACATGCAGCTTTAACACACATCACTGAAAACATAGATCGTTTTTTTTTTTTTTAAGTATACTTTTATTTTTTATTATATTGATAGAAATAGAGTCATTTATTTCAAGTTTTTTATTTTTTGGCTTTAAACTAACTGAAAACCAACATTTAGAGTCATACCCATAGCAGATTAAGCCATAAAGCAAAAAATGGAAGTAAGTTTAAAATTATGGTTCACTGAAAAATATTAGTTAAAAAAATTTTAAAATTAAAAATTTGCCAGAATAATTTTTTGAAAAGAATTGTAGGCTTTTTTTCCCTCCAACCAAACTTCCAATAAAAGAAAAAGCCGGGCAACAAAGAAAAAACAAAGGAACACTAATTAAAACCAAAAACAAAAACGTCAAAAGGAACTAAAGAACTTTGGGGTAACAAGAAAAAAAATTAAAATAATAATTTTTTCCGTGATCACTCAGTCTGGAAGCGGCCATTTTTGCCCAAATACAGTAACCCCTCCCTCCTGCCATCTTCCAGCAGTAACGTCACGGTGCGGTAAGCCTACACTGGAAAAAATCAAAATCTAGAGAAGTCATTTTTTCTTAAAATAAGTGCATTTGTTCTTGAATTGAGGAGGTAAAAGCAACATTTTGCCAATGGAACAGGAAAATTTACATTTAAAATAAGAAAACACAATTGCATTGTCTTATTTCAAGTGTATGTTATCTAATTATCTTATTTTAAGA